GCATCTGTGGATGTTTGTTGCTGTTTGACCTCCAAGCTCTCAAGCTTTTAAAAACATTTACTACAAACTCTGAGAGATCACTTTGAGAAAAGTGTTTTGTTTCTCCATGCCAGGAAGCTGGAAAGTAGTTAGGAAAAATGGCATCTTCCTGATTTTAGTGACATTTGAAAATCCACTCACATGGTCTCCTATTTGATGTTCATGGAGTGTGTACTTTATGTCAAGACCTTTTTAGAGAAACAGCAAGAAAATTGGTAGACTGTTTATTTTATTTATTTTTTTAAACTGCAATCTGTACTCTTCTCATCAAGCTGTCTCTGGTCAGTCCTGCAGGATAAGAGAAATAAGTGCCAAAGACAGAGGATTGGCAGTGACCAGCCAGCCTCCCTCTCTGTGCTCTCTGACAACCTTCCTCCTCTCTTTCAGATCTATGTCTTCCAGGATGGGCTCAATCTTGGCGTTTTGTGCCTTCTTCTCTACAGACTGCTAGGATGCAGGTGTACACCTCCTCCCTGCCTCACTATCTTCCAACATCCTGAAATCTTCAGCACTTTCACTTTTACTTTCTTGTCAATCTTTCATATCTTAAAAAGTTCTTTCTAAATTCTTCTCAACTAATACAATGTCCTTTTTCCATTACAGTAAAGTTTCTAGAAAGAATAGCCCATATTAACGTGTTCCCCACCACCACCACCAACCACCCCTTTCTCAAGCATTCGTTCATTGGTTTTTTGTCTATCCAGTGAAATTTTTTTCTAACAGCATCACGGTATGACCCACTGATACACTGAAAGCCACATGAAAGCTTAAGAGCCTGAAGCAGTAACAGTCATCTCTCTTGGTTCTGTGACTGGACTCAGCTGCACCACTCTGTGGCTCATGACCTTGGCTAAAATGCAAGGCAAAAGCTGAAGTTATCTAATGGCTGGCCTGGGAAATTTTACCATCTCACTTTTGCAAAACAGCTGTGAGATGCTGCAGCCATCTTGCAAACAAAATCCCCACAGATATCCTAGTTAGTGTGAGCAACCATCTGTGGCACTAGTGCTGTTGGCCACAGGATAAGGTTGATGGATGATGTTGTCTCTTGCATCCAGATCACTGCACATTTTCTGCCATCTCTGTTTGCACTTCATCCCCTCCTTGAGCTGAGGTTTTCACTTCTTTGTCTCTTCATCTCCATTATCTTTGTTGGAAAGTATTTGTCCCAATAGATTTATTTATTTTATGTGTATGAGTGTTTTGTGTATGAGTATGTGATGTATTGCATGCGTGCGTGGTGCCACCAGAGGCCAGAAAAGGCCAGTGGATCTGGACCTGGAGTTACTGATGGTTGTGAGCTGTCATGTGGGTTCTGGTAATCAAACTCAGGTCCTCTGCAAGAGCAGCAAGTGCTTTTAACTGGGGAGTCGTCTCTTCAGCTCCTTTATTGGAAAATCTTATTTGCACCCACAGTCTTTTTTTATTTATTTAAATTCTTTAATTACTACTCATATTTACATATCCATTCCCCCCATTCACTTGCCCTCCCATCCTCCCATGTTTCCCGCCCCCCAACCCATCCCCAACTCCTCCCCAGGCATAGTGAGGCCCTCCACAGGGGACCTCCAAAGTCTATCATATCATTCAGGGGAGGACCTAGGCCCTCCTTGCTGTATCTGGGCTGCAATAGTATCCCTCCATAGGGAATGGGCTCCCAAAGTCCATTTGTGCTCTAGGGATAAAGACTGGCTCTACTGTTAGAGGTCCCATAGACTGTCTTGGCCTCCTAGCTGGCACCCACATTCAGAGGGCTTGGTTCGATCCAATGCTGTTTTCCCAGCTTTATGTCTAGGGTCTCCATGCTCTCACAAGGTCAGGTCCACTGTTTCTGCAGGTTTATCCAGCCTTGTCTTGGCTCCTATGCTCATCCCTCCTCCCTCTCCACAACTGGATTCCAGTAGTATGGTTCAGTGCTTAGCTGTGGGTGCCTGTTTCTGCTTCAAACAGCTACTGGATGAAGGCTCTAGAAATGGTAACCAACGTAGGCATCAATATCATTTCAGGGAAAGGGCATCAATGGCATCCTCTCTGCCACTGCCTGGCTTCTTAGTTGGTGTCATCCCTGTGAATCCCCTAACATTTTTCCTGTGCCAGACCTCTCTCTAAACCTGTACTGTCTCCCTCTATCAAGGCATCTCCTTTCTTGCCCTCCTCTATTCCTCCCCTGTCTTAGTCCTCTTGTTCTCCTCCCCTCTCCCCTTCTTCCCTTCTCACCTCCCCCCCCCACACTTTGCTCAGGGGTTTTTGTCCTGATCCCCTTCTTCAAGGGACTATGCAATCTTCTCTGGGGGTCCTCCTTGTTTCCCAGCTCCTCTGGCAGTGTGGATTGTAGACTGGTAATCCTTTGCTCTATGTCTAAAAATCAAAAATGAGTACATACTGTGTTTTTCTTTTTGTGATTGGGTTACCTCATTCAGGATGGTTTCTTCTAGGTTCATTCATTTGCCTGTGAATTTCAAGATTCCATTTTTTTTTCCTGCTGAATAGTACTCCAGTGTGTGAATGTAACACAGGAAAATGGGAATCAGCCTACCTCAAGATCCAGCAATTCCTCTATTGGGCATATACCCAAAGAATCCACATTCATACAATAAGGACATATGTTTAACTATGTTCATGGCAGCATTATTTGTAATAGCCAGAACCTGGAAGAAACCTAGATGCCCCTCAGTTGAAGAATGAATAGATGTGCACCCATAGTCTTAACTGTAGTTATTCACTTGGCAAACATTTATTGAATAGCTGCAATGCTGGATGAAAGTGCCGCTCATTCCATCTTTTTTAAAAAAAAAATACGTATGTATATGTTGTATATTTGATGCGTGTGTGATTTGATGTGTGTGAATGATGTGTTGTGTGTGTGTGTGTGTGTGTGTGTGTGTGTGTGTGTGTGTGTGTGTGAATGTATGTGAATGTGGGTATGCCTATGTCACAGGATGTATGTGGAAGTCAGAGGACATGTTTTCAGAGTAAGTGTTCCCTTTTCTTGAATTCTAGAGATGTGAACCAACTTGCCAACCTTATACAGGGTATCCTTTTTCTCACGGAGCAATCCTACCTGATTGATATTTAGTTTTACAGGTCCCATTTTTCACAATCACAACAGATAACATCTCTATTGTGGTTTTATGCCAGTAATCTTATGTTTTACACATATCTGTGACCGTGTACATGTGTCTCTGTGTCTATGGTAATTCTCAGTGGGGTGTAATTTTGCCCCACAGGAGATGTTTGGCAGTGTCTGGAGAACTTCTGGCATCTTTGAAGTAGAGAACCAGATGGCTCCTGATTGGTATAGAGAGATACCTCATAGGATGGTTTGGCCTATAATGCCTGCTGTGTTGGATTGGGAGTCTTTCTTTCTATCTGTGTGTAATGAGTTTGCCTTGAATGATAGACATACATTTCCAGTGATTGATCTGTCTCTTGCACTTGTGTATTAATACACCCAAACACAGCTTTCAAAACCCACTATTGGCGTTGGTGCACAGTTCTCTCCTCCTGATATAGTCCTGATACAGACTGGGATAGTGGACATCCTCTTGCTTGCCTCTAGGTTGTGTCTTTACATTCTACTCTCCACACTGATGACAGGATGGTGGAGCTTTGATACTGCAGAGGGTTTTCTAACAGCTATCTCCCCTCAAAGTGATTCCCCATGGGCTCTAGATAACGTTTGAACTTCTGACGTGTCCAATAAAATATTTTATCTTGTGACTTCTTTCTTCTCTCCAATATTTCTTAGTCTGTTTCCAGAAGGTGATGTGCTTTCTTATTCTTATTCCTCTCACCTTTTGCAGGTATAGAAATGTCAACACTGTAGAGAGTGATGTCAGCTCAAGACTCCACCCCTCCACCCCGCCGCCTCTCTCTCTCTCTCTCTCTCTCTCTCTCTCTCTCTCTCTCTCTCTCTCTCTCCAACTGTGGATGGGGAGAGCCCCTTCTTCCTCCTCCTCTGAAGATCTATAGGCCCCCTATTTTCTGTTCACCTAAACTTCATGCCACCTTGTGGTATTTAATTTCCTGCACAAACCTGACAGCCAGGCCATGCACTTTTCTGTGGTTACCGGTAGTGTATACTGCTGCAGTACTGACACATAGAGGAGTTTAATAAATGATTGTTGATCAAAACGGACAACTTTTCTTCTTCTTGGAGCTACTTATTGACATAAAAGTAATGTCCTTATTTAAGGAATGGATTGGAACCTGAATGTATACTAATTGCAAAAATAGTTGAATAAATTATGGCATACTCATATCTGATATTTTGTAGCCATTATACAAGTTCTGGAAAAATCTGTATTTAAACTCAAGTAACCCTGATGCATTGTTAAGGGAGAAAAGCATGAAGAATAATTTTTAGGTCATGATATAAACATAGACATGTGCACATGTTTGTATATGTTGTGTGAGCAAAGAGTATGGAAGGGTGAGCATGAAGCTGCAAACCCTGGTTACACTGAACATTCCTCATTATTGTAATTAACAGCTGACCATCAAAAGCATGAGTGGTGGTAGTCAAATTAAATCCAAGACCAGATACAAATCTATAAACGGTAAAGATAAGAGATAGGAATATTACTTCATGGCTAAGGAAAATGCTTACAAAAAACGGGAATCTCATTTTTTGTGTGTATCTGTTAAATTTTCTTATGTGTGTGGAAATAAGCCTGTAAAGACAGAACAAAATGTTAACAGTAATAATTTATGAATAACAGATGACTTTTTTATCGCTTCTCCTTTGTCTGTATTGTGCAATTTTAAAACAATGGCCACAACTTATTTGTATAAGTAAATTTATTTCTAAAAATAGAGCAGAGTACATAAAAATTGGCACCATTAAGCTGGTTGTTATGCGGATCCCTAAGACTCGAAAACCACAATTGTGTGAAATTGTTGTAAAACGAACCATTTAAAAATAGCAGTTGCAATATAACATTTTTATTCCTTTCTTTTAGCAACGGCTGAAAGAAGAGAAGGAAGCCAAGAGGGCTCGTCTGGACGGGAGGCATGACTATCTTTTTGCAATTGTAGCTTCCTGTTTGGACCTGAACAAACCGGAAGTGGAAGATGCTCTTCTTGAGGGTAATCAGGTAGGAAGCTTTTGTGTCCTCACCTTCCCGTGGCAAGAACCTGGGCTGTGCCATTGAAGAGGTGCCACCCTAAAGTGCAGGGACTTCATTGGCTCAAGCAGAACAGATGGAGGACTCCCCAGCTCTTCAGGTGGAATAGTGGCACTTGAAGTCATCATTTGATTTCTACTGTTTGATAACGATGCTCGTGTCTCTTTATAGCAAATGAGGCCAAGCCCTTGTGCCACTTTGGGACCTGAGGTTAGGGACAGAAACCATCTTTTAAGTTGCTATGGTGTGTGTGTGTGTGTGTGTGTGTGTGTGTGTGTGTGTGTGCATGACAAGGGTGTATCCATGCACAGTGAAAATGTGGAGGTCAGAGGACAACTTCAGATGTTGGCTTAGGTGCCATCCATCTTTTGTTTGAGACAAGGTTCCTTTTTGGCCTAGGACTTTACCATGCAGGCTGCAAAGCTTCCTACTAGTATCTCTTTGTCTAAACCTTCAATCTGGCTCTCACTGGGGTTACCAGCACTGTAATGGGCTTCTTGTGAGAGAGTTCTGGGGATCCAAACTCAGATCCACATGCTCCAGAGGCAAGTGCTTTACAGATGGAGCCATCTCCAAGTCTACCCTTCCTCTTTAGAATATGAATTCTAACCTATGCTGTAGACTACCCTTCCTCTTAGAATATGAATTCTAACCCATGCTGTAGACTACTTGCAAGAAGTACTTCTGTTGGGATCAGGCCGTGTGTCAGACAGATGTACATTGGCCCACATGGATGGGACCAAGTGCCAGGAGGCTTCTGAGGTAATAGCTGGCAGCTATCTATGATCCCAAAGCTGCTTTAGAAGATCATTGCATATAAATTTTAATTATCTCCAGTGTGTTAACTATGTTTTGAAGGTTTGCTTTCTCTTTCTGACTTGCAACTTACAAAACATTAAACATTCATTTATATTTATATCTGCCTTCAACAGCTTAATGCTTTGGGGAATTAGCAAAAATTGAAAGTTAAGTCTTTGTCAAATGTACATATGTAGCAATTATTTCTATAATCAGTAAAATTACTTCTTTGAATTGCTTACTACACCAAGACATTTTTTTTTTAATGTTAGGAAAATGCCCCGTCTCTAAGAGAGGCATTAGGTACTGTATTGTTTGAATAAGAAGATGGCATCGAACTGATTTGTTATGCCATCAGTACTGATTTAAATGCATTTTCTAATTCAGAACAAAAATGTTACCTTGCCTCTTTTCAGATTGAAAGAATCGATCAGCTTTTTCCTTCTGGAGGACTCCGCCATCTCATGTTTTACTACCAGGATGTGGAGGGAGCAGAAGCAGGTATTGATATTTGACATGACATAGCCTAGAAATGTCATTAAATTCATCTGAGAGTGGGAAAGAGAAGAAAGGTAATGGATGACTAAACAAGCTTCTTCTGCCTTGGTGTCTTAAGGTTGTGTTGTGTATATGTGGTACATGTATGTATGGTGCACTTGTGTTGTGTATGTATGGTGTGTGTGTGTGTGATGTTTTTGTGGAGTGTATGTGTGGTATGTATGTGATGTCCTTGTGGTGTCTATATATGGTGCACATGTAGTGTTTATGTATATGTGTATTTATTTATTTATTTATTTATTTATTTATTCATTCATTCATTTATTATGTGTGGTGTATGCGTGTATATGTGATAGCCCTGTAGTGTATATGTATGGTGTATGCACAGTGTATGTGTGTGCCCCTGTGGAAGGATGCCTGTTTTCTCCTTCAGGTTAGAAGATGGAAAATGGTAGTTAGCCTAGGTGTTCTAATTGATTTGTTTTCCTTTTGATCTGTCGTGCCAGCAATTGGGACAATCAGGTAGATTTTGCTTTGGTACTTACTTTTCTTATGTGCTAGTTCCTTCTGTGTAACCAGAATCTAAAACTTCCAGCAGGCATTTGATTTTTTTAACACAGGAATTCTTGTCAATAAGCATAGCATAAACTTCCTTCAGTTTATCCATTTTGTTGATTTTTCTAGAAGAACCGACTCATTGTTTCCTTGATTCTTTGTATTGTTCTCTCAGTTCCTACTTTATTGATTTCAGCTTTCAGTTTGATTATTTCCTGCCATCTACTTCTCTTAGGTGTATCTGCTTCTTTTTGTTCTAGAGCTTTCAGGTGTTTGAAGTTGCTAAATATGAGATATCTCCAAATTCTTCATGAAGGCACTTAATGCTATGAACTTTTCTCTTAGCACTGCTTTCACTATGTCCCATAAATTTGGTGATGTTGTGCATTCATTTGCATTGAATTCTAGGCATTCAATTGATGTCTTTCTTTGTTTCTTTCTTGACCCAATGATAACTAAGTAGAGAATTGTTCAGTTTCTATGAGTCTGTAGGTTTTCTGTTGTTATTGAAATCCAACTTAATCTATGGTGGTCTGATAAGATACAGGGGATTATTTCACTTTTTTTGTATCTGTTGAAACTTGCTTTGTGGCTGAGTGTATGGTCAATTTTGGAGAAGATTCCATGAGGTGCTGAGAAGAAGGTATATTCTTTTGTGTTTGGGTGAAATGTTCAGTAGATATTTGTTAGGTTCATTGGAGTCATAATATCTGTTAATTCCATTATTTCTCTGTTTAGTTTCTGTCTGGGTGACCTGTCCATTGGTGACAGTGGGATATTAAAGTCTCCCACTATTACTGTATGGGGTTCTATGGGTGATTTACATTTTACTCATGTTTCTTTTACAATTGTGGGTGCCCTTACATTTGGGGCATAGATGTTCAAAATTGAGACATCATCTTGGTGGATTTTTCCTTTGATGAATATGAAGTACCCTTCTCCATCTCTTTCAAATAATTTTGGTTGGATGTCTATTTTGCTAGATATTAGGAAAGCTATACCAGCTTGCTTCTTAGGTCCATTTGATTGGAAAATATTTTTCTAACCCTTTACTCTGAGGTAATGTGTATCTTTGATGTAGAGGTGTGTTTCTTGTATTCAGTAGAATAATGGATCCTGTTTTCATATGCATTCCATTAGCCTGTGTCTTTTTATTGGCGAATTGAGTCCATTGCTATTGATAGATATTAATGACCAATGATTGTTGATTCCTGTTATTTTGTTGTTGTTGTTGTTGGTAGTGTGTGTGTGTGTGTGTGTGTGTGTGTGTGTTTGTGAATCCACTTCATTGGATTTTGCTGGTATGAGATTATCTATTGCCTGTGTTTTTGTGGATGTAGTTCACTTCCTGTGGTTGGAGTTTTCCTTCTAGTACCTTGTGAAGGGCTAGATTTGTGGGTAGATGTTTAAATTTGACTTTGTCATGAAATATCTTTTTTTCTTCATCTATGGTGACTGGCAGTTTTGCTGGGTATAGTAGTCTGGACTGGCATCCATCATCTCTTAGAGTCTGCCAGACATCAGTGCAGGCCCTTCTGGATTTTGGAGTCTCCATTGAGAACTTGGGTGTGATTCCAATAGGTCTGCCTTTACATGAAAACATGGAACACTTGCTGAATTTGTGTGTCGCCCTTGCTCAAGGGCCACACTATTGGTCCTCTCTGTATTGTTCCAGTTTTAGTATATGTGCTGCTAAAGCAAGCACCACATTATGCTTTAGATTAGATTACTATTAGTTTAAGGCCAAAGTAGGAGCATGACTAAATATATTATGCTTATAGTATTATATCCATCCTTATATGACTTTTGAAAATTGGAAATAATTACTGATCTTGTTAGCTAGTGTGGAAATCCTTCTTTGTTTCACAGAGAAGTTGCTTGTGGATAGAGACAGGGTAGATGCTTTGATTGGTAAATCAAAGCACAAGCAAAGCACAAGCACAAGGACCTGAATTCTTATCCCCAGAGCTCATGTTAAAAAAATAAAACAAAACTCGGTGCAGCCTGTGCCTATAATTTCATCATTGTGAACAGCCTTTCTAGACATTCTTAGGAAAAATTCTTATGGTAATTTCAAATTGAAAACACAGTACTGATTAAAACCAGGAGATAGTATCCAGTTGACCAAAAATAGTTGGTTAGAAGTGAAGTTAACTCATGCTTTCTTTGCACTCACCTCTGCTTCTTCTAACCCTCATCTGGAGCCTCTGAGGGTTTCCACTTGGGGCATGAGAGGCACTCATGTTTCTCCTTCATTTCATCCTTCATCCCAAGACAGTTCAGGTAAATCACAGTGTCTGCCTCAGGTCTGAGGCTAGGTATAGGGAAGTTTATGCTTGACTGCTACTGCTGTGCTCTCTGAACTCATGCTCTTGTGGCCATGGTGGGTTCCCCATGGAGCAGTGCCTACATAGCCCACAGTGGTGTGTTGTCCTTATAAGACAGCAACCCTCTTCCTCAGTGTTTCACAGTGGATTCCCTGTTTTGCACCCTCCCAGCATGCCTCATGAGCAGTGGAATGGCTCCAGGCTGGTTCTCTTCACAAAAGTTGCCCAACTTAATTCAGCTGAAGCACTTTCTTGTCATTTCAAATGAAGGTCCTTGGTTAGCTGCCGTCCCTGGCCCATTTCTCTCTGTATATGTTGTGTTCTGTGTTTGCATTTATTGTCAATAGGCCCTGTATCCCAGCCCCTTACATGGCCGGGCTCCAGGAGACATAGATTACTCATATTTTCCAGTTGGATTGAAAACCCTGCTTCTTACTAAGGTTGAGACTGTCTTCCTTTGCCTGAGACCATCCTCGTTCTAGCACTGGGTGTTCAGCATCCCTTTCTGGTCTAGAGCAGCTGGACAATGGATGCCTCTTTCTTAACCTGAAGCAAAAGTAGAAGGATTTCACAGTTCCTGTGCACAGCACCAATTGCCCACACCCCAGATTTTTCTTAGAGACTCTGTTTTCTATACTCTATCATATCTTGGTGCCTTGGCTATCTTGCATCTTCTTGCTGGTCAGATCCGAGCATATCCATGAGAAGTGGAGCCTCATTGGAATGTTAGGTGTCTGGCTTTCCTTTCTTTGGGTTCTTCCCCAAAGTCCTCAGAAGCTCAGCACCATGAGGAGGAGGCACTTCGAAGGAGGAGGTCTGTTCTCAGGGCTCAGAACTCAATTTCTGTTTCACTGCCTTTCCTCAAATTCTCCCTGAGCATCCCCCCACCTTCGTGGGAGTAAAAAATTGAACCTTCAGTTCTCTTAAGGATCTAAAATTTACTTGAACACAATGCTGTAATCCACAACATGTTCTGATGGACCTCACTGATCCACTCTGCAAGCAGCATGCTTGGACACCTGGCATGAGCTTTCAGACCCTTTTGATAATGCTTGATGAGCTAATAAGTTCATGTAGTTTTATAAGTCCTTTACACGAAGACTCCTTTAATCCTTACAAAAATTCTGCACAAATCTTACAAAAAATGTTAAATTAGAATAGCCTTTCCCATTTAAAAAAAAAATTATGGGAGGGGCTGGTGAGATAAAGCACATTGGCTGCACAGAGGATGCAGTTTAAGTCCTTAGCATCCATGTGGTGCCTCCAGTCATCTATATCTCCAGTTCCAGGGGATCTTCTGGCCTCTCTGGGGACCAGTCACATATGTAACACCCATACATGTAAAATGATAAATGGGGGCACAGGGAGAGTAGGTAACTTGTTCAAGGTCATTTGGTTCATTAGGAAACAGATGGAGGTCAAAGCCCTGGGTCTCACTCTATAACAAGAACCTCAATTGCTTTGCCGTCTTACCTCTGCACAGGCCTGATGCTAGCAATATGTGGAACTAGCCAGTTGCCTGGACTATGATGGTGTCATGGAAGCATTGAGAAGTGAGTCTTGAGTTTTGTAGTTAGAGTTGGCTTTTGACCTTGCCTCTGCCATTTATAGTTGGGACAGCCTGGGATAGCTCACAGATGCCTCAGGTTGAAAACTTTAGAAGTGTAGACTTGGTGCCCAGGAGACATCCTGAGACACAGTGCATACCAGCCAGTGCTTTTTGTTCCCCACCCCATCTGCTGTCTCTCTCACTGGCTCTGTGATGGGGAATCTAGCAGATCCTTTTAGATTTCTTTCAGGATGAGACTAGAGATCATTCAAATGATGACTCTGCCTGGAACACATGGGTAGCTCAGCCATTGTCATCTCTAGAAAGAAACTTCATGCTAGGAGGCCACCCCATGCACTACAAATGGCATTTGTGAAACTGAAATTGTTTTGCATTTGCAGGACCATTTGGCTTTTCAGAAGGGGCAAATCCTGTTTCTGGAAAGATGAAAAAGCCCAAGGTGTTTGTGACCGAAGGAAAAGATGTTGCTCTTACAGGAGTATGTGTGTTCTTCATCAAGTCTGACCCGTCCAAAGCCATCACAGCTGAGAATATCCACCGGGTAAGGGGACAGTCATTTACATCAGATTTCTGCAAACCACACGCATTGCTAAATTTTCCCCTTCTTGCAGAGATAACCACAGGCTTACTCTAGTGTCTAGAACTACTTTCAGGGGTTGGGGGCTTTAGTTTAGAAGTCCGGTGCTTGCTTAGCATATGCAAGGATCTTATTTTAATTGCCAGGATGCACATACATACAAACAAATAAATAACAGCAAATAAATCCCCTTAATTTAAAAGTTATTTTTAGCATTTAAGACAGGCAATTAAAAAGATACTGCCTTTGTATCTTTTGATAATAAGGAATTGATATTCAATTTATTAATAAAATAGCTGAACAGCATTATGCTTGTTTACACTGTGAGTTCTTTTCTTTCACAAAGAACCCCCCACCCAAAATTTACTTATTGGCAAGATTTCTAAAAGTGGATATACAACTTTATGTTTTGTGTAAAGCAAAATGCACTGCCACAGGTGTTTTCTGTGTGTTAGAGGTTGTGTGACCTCATTACTTTCTTGTAGCAAATAAACTAGTGAATACCTAGAATTCAATTTATTTCATTTTTTATTTAGGGGATTATAGTTTAGACTGGTATAAGAGTATCCTCCTCAGAGTATCAGAAAAAAATTCACTCACTACTTGGTTAATTAACATGTTCAGTGACTTCATTGCTATGCTGCAGTTGAGGCTAATTTTTACAATGCATGATGATGAAATTGTTTTCCAGGAGGTGAGCTTTAACACATTAGACACTGCAGATGGGGGCCTGCTAAACAGCGTGAGGCGTCTGCTCTCAGACATCTTCATTCCAGCTCTCAGGTCTTCCAGCCATGGCTGGGGTGAGCTCGAGGGACTACAGGATGCGTCCAGCATTCGGCAGGAGTTTCTGAGCTCTCTGGAAGGTTTTGTGGGCATCTTGTCAGGTGCACAGGAGAGTCTGATGGAGAAGGTAAGAAGGAGTGAGTGGTCCTGTAAAAAGTGATAGGATTCTCAGCAAAACAGAATATGAAGCCAGATGCTTTTCTTAACCATTGAGCCGTCTCTCCAGCCCCAGGTGATACTCTTCTTATGTGGACTTTATTTTACTGTGTTGAAAAGTCTTGAAAGTGTTGGTAGGTAATTTTAGTGTCTTCTTAGGATGTGATTGTAGCTTGATTTAAATACTCACAGTGTGAAGGGCTTAATGATTTGAGGTCGATGAAAACATTTATGGTAAGGTTTTACTCAGTCGGTCAGATGGGGCATAGAGTGCTTGTGACACTGATGTACATCCTAGAATGAAAGGGAGTTTGGAGCTAAAGGTGTGTGTGTGTGTGTGTGTGTGTGTGTGTGTGTGTGGTGGG